CTGATGTCAGGCGCTTAAATGGAGAGCAAATGTTTTGAGAATGATGAAGGCAATGAATGTACAAATGTGCTTTACACAATTGATGTATGTATGGATTGTGATAAGAGTTGCATAAGCCTCTAATAAAATGATTTAAAAAGAAAACAAAAGTAAAAAATTTTTTTAATTGCTTAAAATTAAAAAAACAAAAACAAAACATAGCCCAAACATCCAGCCTTCAATTGCAGGTGTCAAAGACTCACTCTATAAAAATACGCTATTGAAATGCCTACCCTCTACAAATTTTAAATATTTTAAAAGATGATGTAATAGAACTATGTAAACTTGCTGCTTCAGAGAAGCATTTATGATGCTTATTAACTGAGACCATTACAATATAGGTGTTATATCATTTTAAAGAATGTATATGTTCTTGAAATGTGCAATTCCTGTTCCCAAATTCTGCTCCCTAGCTTACATAAAAGCTGTTAATTTTTAAATAGAAAAGGCTTGATTTGAACTAAATTGTAGAGAAAAATGAAATAGAATATGTAGCATTTTCAAATAGTAAAATTTTTCCTCTATAAATGTCTAAACAGTGGTGCACAGGCAAGTGAAATCCTACTTGTAAAAACCTTTCTGTAATGATGCTGTGTAATAATGCATAATTTCTAATATCTAAAATCTAAGGTGAGGAGGGTGTAGAATGCCTGGTGGAGTTGATCAAGTGCAACATAACTGAGAGAAAATTCTGAGAAGAGTTGAATGAAGGGTGAACATGATAGTGGAACAAAAGAAAAGTAAAAAAAAATAAAGAACTAGGAGGCAAAAGACATCTATAGAGGTATAAATATAGGCATGCACATATGCAAATATATTAATAGGGATATAGGTCTATGAACATATATTTAAATGCTAAGTATGAAGGTAGCAGAGAGGCATTGGGTCTCTACTCAAGTACTCCCTCAATGCAAGAACACTTGGTTCTAATAACCTGGCACTCTGTGATGTTCACCTGCCTGACAGGATTGCTGAAGTCAAAATGGGTGCATAGGCAAATGTGGTGAAGAAAGTTGATGGTGCCCGGCTATTAAAAGATATAGTGTCTGAGGTCTTAAAGGCTTGACATTTAAAAAGCAGCCTTCTAGCAGAAAAGCAACAAGCACACTTGGAGGAAGCATACCAGCCTGAATGATATCACGAGGTGTTGAAGGGATCAGGTATCAGATATCAGAAGACCCAAAACAAACAAATATATTGATGCAAATGATGGGGGTCGAGAGGTGAC